AGGACACCACACCCTGCCCTGCCATCTTCCGCCACCGACCCGTCGCAATATACATGTAAACTGTTGCCTCTTGGTAACCGAGATATCATGCTTCCATACAAACACCGTAATTGTCCCGGTTCATGATGAATCTTTTTCACCTTGAGGGGTACAATTTCGACGTCTATTTTCTGTACTATCCAGGGAGCAGACATATTACACTGTCGAGAGGGTTTACAGCAGTCAAGTACGTCGTATTCCCTGAGGTCATGAGCTAATCCTCTCGTATAGCGTGTCTCCCTCAGTTTCCTGGAAGTGTGTACGTCACTCAAGCAGGTCTGAACGCTCTCAAACAGCTTATCCCCTCCTTTTCTCCGCATGAAACGAATAGATACTCTAGTGTTAATGTCACGGACTCTATCACACACACTCTGTAAATTTAATTCCATTCTCATTATTTCAATCATTGCATTTCTTTGACATCCAAGAATAATCCTCATAGCCTCGTTCTGTATCAGCTCTATTTTTTGAATTCTGCCTTGGCCTGTGTAAGACAATACGGGTGCTGCGTAGTCTATCAGGGATCGAACAGTGCTTATGTATAACATCCGCAAGATAGGTACCCCAACACCTTTACCAGAAAAAGCCAGTGCTTTTAGAGGATGCAGACGGGCTTTACATAAGGTGCTGATATGATTTATTTCAGCATTTTTACTCTCACATGTGTATCCAACATACATGCCCAGATACTTGTACTTCTGTACACGGCTCAGTTCCACACCATTTAGAGTAAGTGTTATATTTCTTCGTTTCCTATACTCGTATTTGGTTTTATCTGCATTTATAACTAAGCCTAACTTGTGACAGGTTGTACCAAGTATGTTAAGAGCATCTTGAATTTTGTTCCCAGAAGTGCCTTGTATAAGAATGTCATCAGCATATATGATCGTCGTGACCCCTGGAGGATACATCTCTGATGCTAATCTGTTCATTAATACATTGAATAAGGTGGGACTTAATACTCCCCCTTGTGGGGTACCTAACTGAAACCTCCGTTCCTCAGACATGTATCCCTGGTAATACACCTGACCTTTTCTGCCCTGTAGATAATCCCTTATCCAGTGTAGCAATCTCCCTGTTATTCCCAGATTGGCTAATTCGTATAAGATTACTTCCCCATTGGCTTTATCAAACGCTCCTTGTAGATCAACAAAAACTCTACAATTGTCATCCACATTAGACAAGCACTTTAAGAGACAATCCGCAGTACTTTTGCCTTTGATAAAACCAAAGAGATTACTGGACATGTTATCACCTACAAGGTAGAGTAGCCTATTTAACAAAATCCTTTCCATCATTTTACAAAAGCAGGATATTAAGGAGACAGGTCTGTAGCCTCCGTTTGACTTAGGGATAGGAATGATGACAGCCTCTTTCCATTTTCTTGGTAACTTTCCCTCTCTATAACTCATATTAAACAAATCAAGTAAGGGATTAGGTTTCATACCGGCTAAATAATTAAGTATGTCATACGTTACTCCATCTTTTCCCGGAGCAGTGGAACTGCCACTTTTTATAGCATCCAGTAGCTCATCGTGGGTTATCTCAGTGCATGTTATAGATCTTGTATTTAAGGCACATAAAGTTACTCCATTTCTAATATTTTCCCATGACTCAATGGTGACTCTCGTGTCTGCAGGTAAGGACTCCATACCAGCAGCACTTGCCCATTTATCTACTAACTCATTAGCAACTTTCCCTGGATCTGAGTGAGCAATGAATTTGGTCTTACAACCCCTGACTTTATTTACTGCTCTCCATATGTCTTTAAGGTTCTTAGTATTACCAATGGACTGAGCAAATTCTTGCCAGTATCTGTCCCGCGCCTCCTTCCTCACCTGACTGCATTCCCTAGCCACTTCCAACATTGTATTTTTCTCTTCATCCCTCATTCCATTTTTTAACCATGCTTTATGCGCACTCCGTAGCATTCTCTCCCATCCCTTGACTTGCTGATCATTGGAATATTTAAATTTCTTAGGTCCGTGCGTCTTGCTTCCCCTGCCCCCGTTATTTTCCCTCTGTACTAATTTCTCTATGTTCTCGACCATATCCTCGTAAAAACTATCAACGCAGAGCGGCGTGTAATGTTGATACCAATCTCCCATATTTTGAATAAAGTAATTTTTCATATCTTTATTAATATTTAGCCTTTTCCTTTGAAAGTGGACTTGTTTTTTCCCCAGTGGTAATTCAACGTTCAAGGCAAAGTGGTCACTAAGTAGTTCCCGAACAACCCGAGCCTCCCCCATAATCCCCTGAGAGTTTAAAACGCAGGCATAGTCAAGCCGTCCTCCCCTGATGTGAGTTGGTTCATTGTTTCCCAATAGACAGGTATCTGGATGATCTTGTAGAAACTGTAACCACTTGATGCAGGGTGGCTTGCTCTCTTGGTCAGGGACTCAGTTCCCAGCTCCTTTCTCCGGATTCACTCCTTCCCGGGGCGGGCATTTAGAGTTCATGGCAGTGAAGGTGGCCCTCTCCCATGGGTGAGGCACCTTTGGAGTTCTGTATAACCCGTCTACCAGTAACGAAGAAGGAACTAGAACACTCTTTTGGTCAGATCACAGACACCTGCCTCGTCATGGGTAACTTTAATGCTCGGCACTCATCATGGCAACCACAACACGGGTCGCCACCACAACACGGCTGGCCGAGCCCTGTTTCAGTTTCTCCTTGACTCCCAGACCTCTCCTTACTGACGCCGCCAGGTTTGGGAACCCGGATAGACCCGCTGAATGGGCATACATCAACGCTCAATCTTTGCACTGGAAGAGGCCCCTTCACGATGGCGCAGATATGGACCAGACCGTACCTGGGTGGTGATCACCTGCCCATCGTCATCTCCTTCGAGGGCACTGTTCGTCCTGCTCTGACCACCCGAAGATCCAAGTGGATCTTCTAGGAAGAGGGGTGGCTAGGCTATGAGGCAGTAGGGCGCCACCCTACTCCATTGCAGCGGCAGACCTTCCGCAGGGTGGACACCAGGTGTAGACGTAGACAGTAATCAGCCCTTCCTTGCCAAACGCAAGGCCTGGGCTGATTACTGTGCCTCTCTCCAATTTGACTCCTCCTCTGTGGGAGCCTGGGCCTTTGTTCGCAAGATGATAGGTAGGTACTCCCGGCCTTCCATCCCACCCAGAGACCCCAGTGGTAGTGGGGGCCCTGGGGGAAGTACAAATAGCTGAACTTTTGGCTGACCACTTTGAGGATGTTAACCGTTCCCCGCTCCTTTCTGCAAGTTCCATAGGATGGGGCTCCCGACAGGGTATAGGACTAGCTCAGGACCTGGATCTTCCATATACATCTGTTGAGCTGGAAGACGCTCTGTCACTCTCAAGGTTGGGCACTATGCCAGGGATAGACAACGTCCCATATGAATTTGTTCGGGGGGCTCCCAGGATCCTTCAGTCCTACCTCCTTCACTTATACAACGTCTGCTGGTCTTTTGGTGTCTTCCCTGACTCGTGGAAACACACCATTCTTCTACCATTGGCCAAGTCAAGGAAGGATCCATCTGTCCAGAGTTCATATCGGCCCATAAGTCTGCTTCCATGTCTTGGCAAACTGATGGAACGTCTTGTTCACACCCGGCTACTATGAGTGGTGGAAACCTCAGGTCTCCTACCTACACAAGAGAATTTGTGGAGTGAGATTATGTTTAGCATGTTTAGGAAGTTAAACACGGGGGCCGAGTGTTGTATGAAAGCAGAATTTGTTATTATTCTGATAGCAGATTTTTGCTGGGTGATGATGGACTTGAGGTGGTTTGCAGTGGTTGAACCCCATGCACTGATACCATAATTAAGATAGGAATAGATTAGTGCATAGTATAGAGAGATGAGAGCAGAGTTAGGTACATAATATCTGATTTTGAAGAGTATACCAACTGTTTTAGAGACTTTCTTAGTTATGTGCTGTATATGGGTGTTGAAGTCGAGTCTCTTGTCTAGGAATAGGCCAAGAAACTTTCCATCATTTTTATTGCTAATGTTAACATTGTCTATCTGAAGCTGAATTGCATTTGGAGATTTGCTTCCAAATAAGATGTAGTAGGTCTTTTCTATGTTAAGTATTTATGCCCGAAACGCTTTGCGTAATAGTGGCTTTAGGCATTGTATGTACTAGCTCTACCTATAAGTCTACCAATCCTTGTAAAAATTTATTGTATGTATGTACCTTACCTAAATAAAATTGTATTGTATTGTATAAAATTGTATTGTAAGTGTTAGTTTGTTGGTTGACATCCATAAGTGGACTTTTTTTAGTTCATTATTAACATTATTTAGTGTATGTGGGTTGGGGTTAGAGTAGATGAGGGTAGTATCATCAGCAACAATATAGGTTTCAGAATGTTAGAGACATTAGGCAGATCATTGATATATATAAGAAATAGGTCCCAAGATGATGCCCTGTGGCACTCCAATGGTTAATGGTAGAGTGGGAGAGGTTATATTATTGATGGCTACACATTGGTGTCTATCACTAAGATAGGATTGGATATAGTCCAGTGCATGGCCTCGGATTCCATAATGATGGAGTTTACGTAAGAGGTAATTGTGATTAACAATATCAAAAGCCTTTCTCAGGTCAATGAAGAGTCCAATCGGAAACTCATTTTTGTCAAGGGCTGAGTAAATTATATCAAGGAGACTGATAATTGCATCGTTTTTTTTTGGGGGGAGCAGAAGCCAAACTGACAGAGGCTAAGAATGTCGAATTTTACGAGGTATGAATAAAGCTGTTTGTAGATAATTTTTTCAAATATTTTTTATAGTATGGGTAGGTTTGATAATGGTCTATAATTGTTTATGTCTGCCGGATTATCTCCTCTATGAACTGGAACTTCTTGTAAACTTCTTACTTCTTTCTTGTAAAGTTTTTTGTTCATGGTTTTCATAAAATAACTGCACTATGCAAGATGATGGTGAGATGCTAAGCATGTGTTGCCCCCCCCACAGAAAACGACTCAGATGAGCAAGCACCCCCATGGATCGAGGGCGTGGCCATCCTGGTGGCGGTGGTGGTGGTGGTTCTGGTCACCGCCTTCAATGACTACAGGTAACCTATTAGAACTAGTTTCTTTCCATTGCACTCACTGTCTATATATATAGTTACAGAATTTCAATTGTTACTCTCCTTCCTATAATTTGGCATTATCGCTAATATTTGAATTTTAATGATGATAAATGATGAATTATATCATGTGAACAATTACATGATTGTTTATATAATAATGGTTACCCCTTGACCTCTAGTAATAATCAGTAGTATTTTCACTTGTCTTATAAATGGTCACAAGCACAGTCCTCCTTGCAGATGATTTCAAATATATATGTGTCTTTATGTACTGTATATATATCTTTCATACCTGTATCAAAAAGATTCACTGTATGTGGTCAGGAACAGTGCATTATTCACTGTATGTGTTCAACACTATATTTCCAAATTCGAGGACTTTTACTTCAAATCATAAAGTGAGATTTTGTATTATTTAGATCATTAAAATGGCATGTGAAAATGGTGTGTGACCTCACAAATAAAATGTTAAAGTTAAAAATCAGTAATACTAAATTGCCACCATTATTCATGTACAGTATACTATTATTATTATTAAAGCAGTCCTCATGGCATAGTTGTAAAGCACTTGCCTGGTGCTTCACAAGAGCTTTGTACTGGGTTTGTATTCTGGCCATGAAGGATTGACCAAGTGCCAATCCTTAACTGTAGTCTCTGTTCATCCAGCAGTGAATGGGTACCTGGTTGTTAAAGGATTGGCGGGTCATATTCCGGGAAAAAATTAGGATTAACCCTTAAAACGCGTAAAACATACATATACAATTTGACATAACTCAAATTTTTAAAACTTGCACAAACACTTTTTAATTTTTTGTGCATAACCAACTAGGCAAATGCTCCAACTTTGTCTAAATGATCACAATGTAACTTGAAAAACACGAAAATAAAAAATAATTTTAAAATTGAATATTGAAAACTAAAGATTTTAAAATCAGAATAAAAAATATAAACTAACACCAATTGTTCATTTGGTGTTGTTATTCTCTCAGAATAAAATATGATCTTCATTTTCATCAAATTAGAATATAGGCTTTCAGTATAGTTTACTGTAAACAAAATTGTCAATATGGCATTTGAAATATGCAGCAAATTTAGGCCAAAAAAATTATAACTCCAAATGTATAAGGTTTATAAAAAAATCCATTCTGAAGGGATTGCAGAACAGACAGATGAGCACACAATATGTCAAAATGGTGAGAATCGGTCAAAAATTGGAATTTTAGAAGCCACTCAAATTTGAAACTCTAGTTTCAAAGATAATTGAAGTTATCGACAATGAATAAAGGTAGTTCTAATTCGTTAATTTAATTGCATGTTTTAATAAACATTGTTTGGCATTCATACTCGAATATGTGAAAGTTGTAGGTCAATATGTGTTGAATGAAAAGTCAAGAAAAAATAACCTCCCAAAAAACAAAATATAGGGGTAATTATAATAATTATAATGATTTAGGGGATATATTTAGGGTATACTCTCTATAAGTGAAAAAGCTCTAATCTGGTCCCTAATCATCAAAACAACATAAAGAGACAAAGAAAATAGTCTCAAATCTGAGAAAAAATCAGCCAACAAAAATTCAAAGTCTCAAGTTCTGCGAGTTGTGACTGATTTATTTGTTGACCAATTTCATTTTATCTTCACATAGTTAGGGAAGGATATGCACTCTCCAGGATGTAAAGGTTACAATAAAATCAGATAATAAACAAAGGAGAAAAAAACTAAGATCTTTAAAAAAAAAAAATCCTCTTAAAAAAAAGTATTTTTGGGACATTGATGAAAGTAACATATATTAACATTGGACTATGTATTTATATGATATATAACAAAATAGAGCATAATAACATACTCATTATTATTTGTGTTATTATGTATTACTCAACAATGCTATAAAGGCTCCAGCTGCATATCCACTTTATGGACACTTCTTACTATTATTCTTTTTCTTTAAGCATTGGACAGGTGCTTGCATCACTTTATTACTGCATTATCCTTCAGTTCCAGTTAATAGAAGCTGTTCTCCTTATCAACAAAACATTCTTATTTTTTTTTAAATTTGTCTAAAATTAATTTCTGAAAATATTTTGATGAAAGTTTCATGACACTGAAGCCAATAAGTTGAAGATTTTGTCAATATTTTTAAGTTATTTTTACATATTTCGAATATTTTTCGCTTCCAGGCCCCCCCCCAATATGGGCGGTTTAAGGGGTTAAATGGATCTTCCCGAAACACTCTATGTGCTAGTGGCTATACAGTAAAAGCAAACCAGTATTTGAACCATAGACCAGTAGAGCAAGAGAGTGATTAGTGTGCATGCAATCTTAACACTGTGAGCCAAAGATCACTAGAGTTAGTTTAGTTAATTTCTTATGCACCCCATACCCATCCTGTGGGCAGTAGTGGAAAGGGTTACAGAGGCACATAACGGGCTTAGGGACTGAATCCAAAAATTCATTTAGTTAAGCAAATTAGTCTTGATGAACTACTTACAAAATTTAATGTACTATATATTGTTACATCACCAATTTGTTCGAGTCCAATCACAAGTGCAGTCTCCAAGTTAAGCAACTTACATATGTGGAGAGCTAGCATCATAATATATATGTTTATTCTACACATCACATCCCCCAACTAGTGGGCAGCGGTGGAAATATTACAACATTTACATTTACCAATATATTTACAAAATATTTACCACCTGCAATTTGTAAACTGGGGATATTTGGCTAAAATTTCTGATAGTAGATGTGGGGAAGAAGCTTAAAAAACTTTAAACTAAATGAGATCAAAAACAATAATGAAGTAGATAAATAGAAATAAAATTATAATTATTACATGATGGATGGAACAACAGAATTATAACAAAATAACAGATAGCCGTTGTACATGTGTGTGTGCATATGGTCTTAACACTGAGTCATAGTTCACTAGCGCAAGAGAGAGAGTAGTCTTAAACTCTTGACATTGTTTGGTCCACAGCAAAGAGCGTCAGTTCCGGGGCCTGCAGAATAAGATAGAGAACGCCCATTACTTCTCTGTGGTCCGTGCCAGGAACGTCACACAGTTACCCCTGAGTGAGATCCTTGTCGGTGACATCTGTCAGGTAACACACCACTAGACATGAGGTCTAGGTTATGCACTGTACATCCTCAGTAATTCATTTGATTTATTAGTGTTAAACATTTACCGGGTATATTGGATATTTTTACAATGTTTTTTATGATTTTAACAATTTGGTATTTGACTGCTATGGTATTTTTACTGTAGTAATATTACAATTGGTGCAGCTTTACCAGTTGAAGTTAATGTATAGCAAATTTTATGGACTAATTTTCAGTTTGTATTCTGTCTGTTTCCTTGGGTTGATGGTTCTTGCACGCCACTCGGGAGTTCATACCAATTTTTAATATTGCTTAACCTAATATATTCTCTGATAGCTTCAACTGTCAAGCATAGATGATAATTTTTTTTTATATTATATATGGTACATTGATATTTTCTATAGATATAAAATTTAGTTTAATAAATATGTATTTTATAAAATGGTTATGAATAATATTAGAAGGTAACCCGTCTAATCTTGTGAATATTCTTGTGTTATGCAGATCAAGTATGGAGATATGTTGCCAGCTGATGGTCTCTTGATCCAGGGTTCAGACCTTAAGGTGGATGAGTCTTCACTCACAGGCGAGAGTGACCATGTCAAGAAGAGTGAAACTACCGACCCTTTGCTCTACTCAGGTCAGTGACACTTGTCTTATGTAAGCCTGGTTAATGTCAGCTTGGCTCACGTTATGTTGTCCCCTAACTCCCCTTGCCACTTCGGGGGGTATAGGGTGTTTATGTAGCTTCAGGGCACCAATCCCCCCAGCCACTGGGCATGGTGAAAAGTCACCCCTAAGCATACCTAATTCCCTATCAAACATAAACTAAAATACACATAAATGGCAGATCTCATCACAACCCACAACAGTTAAGATGATGATAATAACATACACAAAATGGAAAAAAGTTTGTATTTCACTTTTCTTATATGGGACACAGTACACAAAGGGAGAGGTGAACAGTATATCATTAAAAAGAACTAAAGCTGATGCAAAACAATGCTGCCTATGTGGCAGGATTGGTGACTTGACAGCAGCAAACATGGAAAAAACTATTCATAGTGGAAACTCCTAACAAGGCCCTGGAGTGGGAGGGTTGTCATGTATGCGCATGGAAGTCCCTCCGGCCGCCGCCGTACCCACTCGTGGGCTCCAGCCAGGTCATCCACCCTCTTGTCATTTTCTCCCTCACCTTGAGAGATAAATTTTCCCCCTCACCTTACCCGAAATGCTATGCATACTAGTGGCTTTAGGTATTGTATGCACTAGCTCTATCTTTAAATTCCAAACATTATGTTTATAACTCATCTTCAATGTATGCACCTTTACCTCAATAAAAAAATCTATTCTAATCTAATCTTGTGAAAAACCATTTGGAGAAGTAGTACTCCAGATGACGACTCTGCTTAGATAGTTGGCTGCCAGCTATCCTGGTTCACCTAAACAAGACTATATTGACCCTTATGCCCACTGTGCACGGTGATCCTGGGACTAAGGTGGTCTGCCCCTGGATGTGGTCTTGGACCATATTCTGTAGATGGAATATGTCCAGATCAGGGCTTTCACAGAGCAAATCTCAAGGTCGCTCTTGGTGAGTCCCATATCCTGAAGACCACGTGCACTCTTCTTGCACCATCCTCCTCTCCAATTAAGGGTTATCCTTCCTGGTATATTTCCTCACCTTTTGAAGGATCTCTGGGGGTGCCGTACTTGTCGCACTTGCTCTGATATGGATGGGAGAGTGGGAAGTTATCAGCAGAGACCTGGGTGTCTAATATAAAGGCCTCATCATCTTTGCAAGCTATGATGTCAGGCTTGTAGAAGGTGCCTCCATCCGGTATACGGACTTCATGTTCCACCTCAAAACCTCTTTGTCACAGGCAGCCGGTTACGAACCGGGTGATGTCGTCATGACGTTTCACCCGAGCCCCATGTGTCTTGTAGCATGCCTGGCCAAGGATCCCTGGTTTCTGGCAAACATCGCAGAGACCAGAAGCCTCGGGTCTACCCCTAGCTGCTCTAGACGGAGTTGCTACAGTGTTTGCCCTAATCTGGATGGCATGAGCAAAATCTCCTCTACTTAGCAGATGGGTACCGGATGCGACCCACTTGTGGCAGAAAGGAACCTCACAAGTGGATGCAAGGCCGGCACCATCAACCATGCTGTGCAGTTTTGCTTTCCACCTTCTAGAGCGCTCAGTCGTTCTGTTAGAAGAGGTTCCGGCGGTCGTGGTTGTGTCTACCCATCGACGCATTCACGCTTGGAACGCAGGTAGGAGAGCCACTGCCACTGCCACCATCACTGGATCCTTCGACTCTACCAACGTCCCGAGCCGCTTGTTCTTTTGTAGGCGGATTAATGTAGCAAAGTCGAGAATTCCTAGACCACCGTCCTTTACGTCGGCATGAATAAAAGCATTAGGAGTTTCGTGAGGCAGTCGCAGCCAGCCGCGAATGGCACGCCACCTGTCAAGCCTCGCTAACTCCGTCTTAAACACGCGTCCGAGAACAAGCCGGTGGTTCATCTTGGGGTTTAGGTGGTGGTTTAGTAGGTATAAACTCTGTTTAGGTTTGAGTGGTGCCTGGGTGATGTTAGGGAAACAGGGAACAGTAGGATAGGCGTCTGCCCTCGGCCACGATAAGTATTCCTAAATACTTGTACTCATCCGCCACACTCACAGTACCAATTTCATCGCCCCCGACGTAGTATGCCCTCCCTGGTGGGGTTATGTCAAGTCTTATGATGCTCATTGATTGCTATGCTTAGCGTACGGCACTTTACAACATTTACTTTAAGGCCAGAGCCACTTAATGTGTGGCAAATACTTGTTATAAGTTTCTGTAGTCCGGCAGCTGTCTCTGCTGCCACAACCAGATCGTCGTCGAAAGCCAGGGCTGATACCTTTTTGCCCCCCAGTCCAACCCCTAGCCCCAAGTTCTAATTAGCCCTAGTAATTGCCTCATCAATTATTAGGTTAAAGAGAAATGAAGACTGAGGGTCACCCTGTTTCACCCTCCTAGTGATCAGGATGTTCTTTGACTTCTCCCCCTGGCTGGTAATTAAGGTTGCGGATCGTTCATAGCCCGACATGATGTATGTCCTTAAAGGCTTCAGAATCCCTTTACATTTCATGGCCCGATGGATAGCTGGATGGGAGATGCTATCGAAAGCCTTCTCCATATCCAGAAATGCTAGGTGCGTGTTGTGCTTGAGCGCACGAGCCTCAGCTAGGAGGGGCATCCAGGATCACTAGGTTTTCAGGACACCCGTCCACAGGGACAAAAGCTTTCTGCCGCCTGTCGATCCTGATTGCCTCGGAGAGTTTGCTGCTCAGAATCTTATGGAACAGCCTCACTATCGTAGATGACATGGTTATGGGGCGATAGTGGGAAGGAGAGTCTGGGTTAGGTTTCTTAGCTAACAGCATTTCTTATTCTTGCAAAAACGTTGTGGCAGGGATTCGTTTGCCAACCACAGATTAAACAACTTTGCAAACACCCTAATTGGTGTAGCTTTAAGTAAATGTATAGTAATACCATCTGGGCTGGGAGCAGCATTGCTACTTGCCTTGAGAGCAACAGGGATTTCCTCTGGTGTTATAGGGTACTCTAGTTGCTGATTAACTGGATCATGGTCACGAATTGGGCGGCGGTCCGGTGGTGTTGGTCTAAAGAAGAGTGTCTCCCAGAATGGAAAGAGACGAGCTGGCTCCACCTCAGTGGGGGTTACTTTCCAGTCTCCGGAGTGGACACGCGCAGCGACCTTGGAACGATCCTTCTCGTACAGGCTCTGACACAGAATGCACTGTGCTCTTCGCTCCCCCTTTCGTCCGGTCAGAGGTTGGGTTGGGTCGGCACTCTTAATCGGTGGAGGTCTCTATCTATGCACAGGGCGAGGACGCAGTGCATGGTCACCACATCTTTTGGCAGACGTAACCACTCGAGCATGGCGCTCAAGGATCCTATCCATGTTATGGCAGTCGCCACTGACCAGGTCAGTACTCACCTAATTATGCTTGCGGGGGTTGAGCTTGGTCTCTTTGGTCCTGCCTCTCAACTGTCAATCAACTAGTGTACAGATTCCTGAGCCTACTGGGCTCTATCATATCTACATTTGAAACTGTGTATGGAGTCAGCCTCCACCACATCACTTCCTAGTGCATTCCATTTATTAACTACTCTGACACTGAAAAAATTATTTCTAACATCTTTGTGACTCATTTGGGTACTAAGTTTCCACCTGTGTCCCCTTGTTCATGTCCTGCCCGTGCTGAAGAGTTTGTCTTTGTCCACCCTGTCAATTCCCCTGAGAATTTTGTAGGTGGTTATCATGTCTCCTCTTACTCTTCTGTTTTCCAGGGACGTGAGGTTCAGCTCCTTTAGCCTTTCCTCGTAGCTCATTCCTCTTAGTTCCGGGACGAGCCTAGTGGCATATGCTGAATCTTCTCTAACTTTGTCTTGTGTTAAACTTGGTATGGACTCCAGACTGGAGCTGCATATTCCAGGATTGGTCTGATTTAAGTAGTATACAAGGTCCTGAACGATTCATTACACAAGTTTCTAAAGGCAGTTCTTATGCTAGCCAATCTACCATATGCCGCTGATGATATCCTTTTGATGTGGGCCTCTGGGGACAGGTTCGGTGTGATATCAACCCCCAGATCTTTCTCTCTATTTGACTCTTGCAGGATTTCACTTCCCAGATGGTACCTTGTGTTCAGCCTCCTGCTCCCTTCGCCTAATTTCATTACCTTACACTTTCCTGAGTTGAACTTTAGCAGCCATTTTCTAGACCATTCCTCCAATTTACATACTTGCACAGCCAATAACACACAAAGTGTTTCGTGCGGGTTTGTGCCCGAATTACAGTAAGTAGTTTGTTTGTTTGGGAATTTCTTCGGGCATTAGTTTGTGTAACTCCTGTCCCCACAATTATACATTACTCTTGTGTTCTTTGTACTCATATTCTTTTGAATAAAAATTTGTATTTTAATTTGAACTAGTTTCTTGAAACCATAAAGTCCCAATAAGAATAATTTTATCACTGTAGCATTTAATTGCGAAAGATAACAGAATATATTTAAGAAACATAGTTTAGGCCTTATTATTTTGCTATATTATCATAATGTTTGAACGTCAAGACTAATCCTTCATGCTTGATTAATATATACATAAATACATCTTGCATATGATAAAAGCTGTATGTTATTAACAGCTGGTGATAATTTGGCACTATTCAGACATGTTCTTATCCAACCCGTTCTCACACAAGACAGCACATATATGACTTAATGCTTAAAGTCAATATGTAGAATATGAATTAGTAAATATGTGATATATTCCCAGTTACTTTTTTTTCCAAGGCCCAAAATCTTCCTCACGTACCAACTTGCGTCTCACAGTACCCGTCCGTCAACCTAGATAGCAGAATAGTCGTGATTGGTTCAATTATAAGGAAAATTGTACTTTTCAGGTCCCACATGGGTTGTGAAATTTACCTACTATTGTCCATGCTCTTAGAATATTATAGATCAGCTACTTCCTATTGAAGGTTCGTAGTTTTGTTTTGAGAAATATTAGTTGTTCTTAGTAAATTATAATAAGCACTAAAAATTATTACATAGAATAACAGTCCTT